CGGTTGAGCCGTCGTGTAGGCGGGTGTGCGTTTGTGGCACGGGGCGACGAGTGCGACGTGTGGTGGCGCGACGTTTGGCGGTGTCGTCATCGGCATCACTGCTGTCATTGTTGCTGCCGTCAGCATGGTCACCTCCACGTTCGTCAACCGAGGCCGGCCGGCACTGTGCTGACGGTGCCGAGGGACTGAACTGGGGGTTTCGTTCGACGTTGGCGGCGTAGCGGTATGGCGGCGACCCGCCTGGCTGAGGATGCTGCAGCAGGTCGCCGATTCCGCCAGCAACACGACCGGACAAGACACGGCTGCTGGGATGGGCGGGTCCAAGGTGTGGTGGAGGCGGCACGTTGGCTGTACAGGAGTGGCTGATGGCACCGAGGTGCTCGTGGCTTTGCATGCCAATTTCGTCGATGAGGACAGCCCCATCACTGATGTTGCGCTTGACCTGAAGGCCGGTGTGGGCGCCGCGCTTGGGAAGATTGGCGCCACGGGAGCCGCTTTGACTGGCTGAGATGCCGAACATCGAGTGGGTCGATAGGCTGCGGTGTACTGGGGTGTTGAAGGCGATCGCGGCAGCCCAGGAGTATGCACATGTGGCGGCCCAGTCGGGACTGTCATGCTGATACGTGTACGAACTGAGTCTTGCCCGTGCCCGGAGGACCCATGATGAGCATCTGTGGCGGGACGCCTGGATCAGGTTCGTTGCGGCGGTCGAAATAACGTGCCATGAGCATGAATGGTACAGCCTGATCCGGTGCCAGGGTAAAGAGCTCGATGGTGTCATCGATGCTCGGTGGCTGTGGTAGACGTAGGTAAGTTGGCATTCCCGCTGTGATATGGTTGGTTTGCTGGGTGTCGGTCATGACGACCGCTACAAGTGGGTAGCCGGGGCGGCGATCCAAACGAAGATGGGGGGTGCGGTCCGTCGTGGTCAGCATGGTGGCGGTGCCTTCGGAGATGACTAGGTAGCGCTTCAGGCGCTTGGAAGCCTCGCTCAGCAGCAGGATGTCAGTGGTGCGTACACGGCGGATGAAGGGGTTGGTGTTGGCACCGAGCGCATTGGGAAGAGGAAGTACACGGCAACGGCGAGCTGCACCGTATGCATACAGGCCCTCCACTGTGGTGCGGTCATACAGGTCCGTCAGGGCGACATCGGACAGGTTGATTCCTAGTGTCGGGTCGCCTTGGCCTGGTACAAAGTCGTACCGTTCGACCTGATCATCTTGCGGCGGCTGTGTGGCGGGGTCGGGTTCGAGGCGGCCTCGTGCAGCTTCCGGGTCATCATCATCCGGGTCACTGGAACTGTTGTCCGGGGCCAGACCGGCAGTTGCAGCAGCAGCGCGGCGCTGGCGGCGTCGCAAGTTGTAGTCGGCCTGGCGCCGGGCGCTGGCGAGGTGCTCTGCTTCGATGTTGTCTAGCAGGACACTCACACAGGCTCTGTACGATCGGCCTGCCTCGGTGGATCCCAGGTCCATCCACCATGCATCGTACGCCTCTTTCACCGTCTGACCGGCAGCCACCAGTTGGCCGCGGTGAGCCTTGAAGATGCCTAAGACAAATGCGTAGTAGGCGACGGCGGCTGCGGTGGTGCTGCCTGCTTGCGGGCGGCGGGGCAGTGCACCGCCCAGCAGAACGTACCTCGGCTGCGCCAGGCGATGAAGAACGTGTGTCAGATACAGCGGGTGCGTTGGTTGGAAGGCCACATTCTTGGGAGGTATGGTCGACATCGGGCTCGTGGGCAGCTGTTCTGCAGATGGGCCAGCTGGCACAGGGGACGCCATAACGGCGGTGGGCTGGGTGCCAGATGGGGCGGGAGGTGCGTCAGTAGTAGGGGTCATAGCGGCGCCAGGGGCTTTGCGCTTGCAGCGGCCAGGTACAGGGAGGACTTGGGCACTGAGGATGGCAGCATGGGGGTGCTGCGCGGGCGTTATACGTTTCACCTCGAAGTTGGATGCGATGCTGTAGGCGCTGCAGTCCAAGCCGCTCAGCTCCACTCCACGCTGCGTGTAGTTCTGTACGACGCTGGTGAGGGTGTAGTCGCCATGCTCGTCCGCCTCTACAAGCTCCACACCGGTTTCCGCGTCTTCTGGTTCTACGGCGGATTCGGACGCCAGTGCAGTGAAGGCACCTATCGGTAGGTAGTTGCGTTTGTAGGTTGCTTGGAACGTATCGTGGCCTGACAGTTTGAAGGCGACCAGTGCCATGCCAGCCGTGATAGTGGCCGTCATGCGGTGCACCACGGTACACAGGTTGCCGAACGTGCTGGGTCCATCACCGGTGGCGCTGGGTCGGTGACCTGCCATCATGAAGTCCTGTACACGGCCCACGGCGGCACATGTGAGGTGCGCCTGGCTGCGTTCAATCGTCTTTGCAGTGTACTTAGAGCTGTAGTACGCGGCGTCACGGGCGCGGTCGATGGCGGGCTGTAGGAGGGAGCAGTCACCGTGTTCGTTGGGAGGACGCGCTAGTTGGGCAGCGATGTCAGCTGTGTACTCCCGGTCGACTTCGCAGGCCAGGGACATCAAATGATTGCAGCCGAAGGCGAGGGCAATGGCAGGCATGTGTGGCACGAGGTTGGGTGCCAGGCAGGGCAGCAAGAATAGGCCGGTGGTACCGATCCATTGAAAGGCTGTGCGGATGAGTCGGGGAAAGGCCATGCCGCAGCTGTCATCGGTACCGCGGCAGCCATGCCGCTTGCATGTCGAACTGTGGCTGTGGGTGAGGGTACTGCGTATGACGGCAGCGTGATGGGCACGGCAGGCGGTATGTCGCGATGGAGGCGGCAGTCCGCCGTTTGCACACCCCGCCAGTCGTTCGAAGTTGTATGCTGCAGGTGGGCAGTCCGCCTGCACTGCTGGCACGGGTAGACCGTGCTGCTGCGCTTCCGCATCAGACATACCCATGACCAGAGGCTGTGTCCCACTGTCCGGTGTCGGAGCATAGTATGGGGAGGGGTACCACATTTCGCACAGCGCGTATGCAAGCGCCAGAGCTCGGCAGTTGGGTCCACAGAATAACGCCTGAAGGTTGTCCAGTGCGAAGCACTCGAGGTGTGCGACTCCATGCAAGTGTAGCGCCAATCGCCCGCTCTGTTCAACCTTGACGACTACCTCAAATACGACCCCACAGAAGCAGTTAGGGTCAGTCTGCCGCATTGCTCCAGGTGCAAAGCCAAACAACTGCTCCACCAACACCTCTTTTGTGGCGATGAGCAGTGCCGCGCAGCTGTGCGGGTCTTCTTTGACGCGGCGCCACTTGTCCACCGTGCTGCTGATCTGGGTCGGACGACCGGCGTCGTCGAACTCTATAAGCTGACCAGAGGCTACAACAGCGCAGCCAGCATGCATGTCCGCCGGGTTGAGATTGAAGAACAATGGTGGCCAGCCGATGGTAAGGGCAGCCGCACGCATCATGGCCTTTGCACCATTATAGTAGGTATCTGTAAGGTCGATTCGCAGGAGGCTGGCACGTGCGCCATCCAGGAGGGCACGCACCACGGGCGACTGCTGCGACAGCAGCTGCCGTCGCTGGGCGTGACGGTATGGCAGCGCCAAGATGTCCGCCATGGTGCGTACCACATCCCTCGGTACCCGTGCCGCTGGTCCACCCAGTCGTGGTCGCATGCGCAGGGCCACTCCTACCTGCGCCATGCTTTGTTGCCGCACGCTGATATCATACATTCGGGCAAGCAGCATTAAGTTGCTGCTGAACTGTGACCGTGGCACCCGCCGTACAAGGTGGCTGCAATATGAGGCGAACGACATACCCGGTGGCCGCTGTCCGGACAAACCATATGGAAACGAGACCGGGAAGCAGACGTTAAGGATGGCTGGGTGGCGGTCATCCAGGACCTGAGCGCCACGGCCGCCAGCAGCGAATGCGAGACGTGCACGCCCGGTGAGCAGGTCATGCACCACATTGGGCCGGTTATCAAAGTCGCTGCCGTCCGTCGGAACAGGAGCTGGTTGCGGAAGGACCACCTCCAGTTCATTCGGAACGCCCAGATCGGCATCAGCTGCGTTGGGTGGAGGGGGTGGATATTCATAAGGTTAACATGCCAGACGGGCAAATGGTGCAGCACTGGAATGATACTCGTGACGTATGCACAGGACGTGCCAAAGTCAGTCGATGAATATAGTAGGACAAACAGAACAAATAGGACTAATAGGATAATTTGCAGATTGTCACTTACCCCGGAGAGGACCAGGATCAGCTGGTTGGCGCACGACGACCGCGACAGGCGCTAAGCCCGTAGCACCAGCATCTATAGTGGAAAATAGGCACGGTTGTGCATACACCGCAGATGAGGAGGTGGTAAGAAACATAATAGTTAATGGTCCGGAATCCGACAGGTGGATGAACATGCCCGGAGGACACATACAGCAGTACTCGTAGCATGTGCAAACTTGCAGGTACATACAGGCCGTACAATACGACAGCGTAATGGGTGCGGAGAAACAGTCGTGCACGTACCAGCCCACCAGGTTGGACAGCTCGTACCGTATCCATCACATACATACCTGCCATACGAGTGTCAGAGGCAGTTGTTCCGGCCGTGGGCCCGTCAGGACCTATAACAGATGTAGGAGCACAGAAATAGCAATGTCGGAAGGATGTGCGTGAAGCAGGTGGAAATAATTCCGTCAGTTGGAAAGGAACGCATGTAGGCTTTCAGCCCCCTTAGCATATATATATATATATATATATATATATATATATATATATATATATATATATATATATATATATATATATAACACCCTCCCTGCCCAGCCTACTTCTGACACATAACCGCCACACAGCGCAACCACTCCAACAACATCAGGATGCGAGAATGCAGGGGCAGAGGAACATACACCTGTATGGAGGTGCTGGCTCGCCACCTGCACCACGCACACCTGGTCAACCCAGCACTACCAGATGGGGTGCACAGCCTGTACAAGGC